ACAAATAAAACAAAACACAAATGCTGGTGAGCATGTGGAATGCAAAGTGGTAAAGCCTTGAGTGTCCCTCATATACATGCATCCATACATACATACATATGCACATACGTACACACACACACACACACACACACACATATATTCTTCACAAGAATCAAAATGAGATATTGAAGAGATATTCATACATCTGTATCCACTGCAGTACTATTCACAATAGCCAAGAAGTAGAAGCAACTCAAACATTCACTGGGAGCTAAATAGGTTAAAAAATGCAGTATATGCATACAATGGACTATTATTCACCTTAAAAATTAAGTAAATCCTATTATATGCTGCATGGATAAGGCTTAAGGACATTAAGTTAAGTGAAACATAAGCCAATCATAAAAGGACAAATACTGTGTGATTTCACTTCAAATAGATTCACAGAAACAGAAACTGGAATGGTGCTTGCCAGAAGCTGGGGGAGGAAATGAGGTATTGTTCAATGATTATGTTTTACTTTTGCAAGATGAAAAAGTTCTAGAAGTCTCTTATGACTGTGCCTAACTTCTCAGCACTCTTATCTCAAAAATGGTTAAGATAGTAAGAACAGAGAAGGAAATAGAAAAAAAATTAGGAGGTTTTTGTTCTAATTTCACTCAGTGTTTGGAAACTCTAGGGACAGAGTCTGCTTTACAGGGCTGCCCACTGTGTCAAAACACAGCAATGCTGTCTGTTCATAAGCAGCCATGGCTGGCTTTCAGTAATGACAGTCACTACCAGGTGCCCTCATTAGCCTTTGCTCATCCATTCGCATTACCCAGAACTTGGTCCACCTCCTCCCTCTAACTCACAGGTCTCTTTCTTAGCTTATATCAAAGACACTTCCTGATCCTGCCCCACCACATGATTCTCTCCTGCTTTCTGTTTTCAAGTGCTTGTCTGCTTCCTTATACCACCTGCCCTGTCTTTTATCCACATAGCTAGAGTTGGAGGTGCCAGGACACTATCCTGTTTTCCCCATGCTACTGTTTCAGCCTCTGGCACACATGGTACTTGCTCAGAGACTAGGTTCCCTCATACTGTTGAACAGATATGACCATGCGTGAGCCAGCAGGCTTATCTCTGTCCTCAGAGCAATCAAAGCCTAGCTGGGAGCCATGAGGATCTGGCATGAAAATTCTCACTCTTAAAGCTTTCCTAACGCCAAAGAACATGAAAATCCAGATTTCTCTCCTTCTGTTTACTGACTCTGGTAAGAGAGGGGAAAGAGCCTATCATGTGCTGGGACCCTCCCAGATTTCCCAGAGATAAGCCAAAGTCACACCCTCCATGCAAGTGCCCAGCCCTGGTGCTGGAAGGGGCCCCAGATGCATTTGGCAGCTAGTTGCTGCCTCGTTATTCCTGAGAAGAATCCATCATGATTTTGTCAAAGCTTGTTGTTTTAATGACTTTTTAATTATCCTCCCCCTTTCCTCCTCCTTAGTTGCTAACTTGTCAATTTAAAGAATTTCTTGTTTAAAAAGAAAAAAAAGGTGCCACTTTGGATGATGACAACCACTCCAGTTAAAATTCCATTAAGTACTTCACTTGGGAAGCTTATTTAAATGATTTGAGGGAGACAGCATGTAGAAGCTTCAAGCAAATAGAAAGGCAAGCGAGGGTCTGGGCCTCCATCTGGATGATCCTCCTTGAAATGTGGACATGGACTTATTGCCTTATATTTATGTTGTCATCAATAAATAATTTGGTTATTACACAAGAGGAAAAGCTCTTTGCTAATATGACTATGAAACTTGCTTATATTCTTCACAGAAACACTGGATATTAAAAACAATAAGAATCACCTCCTAAAGCCCCACACTGTTCCACCCTGAGGAAGACTAGGTGACATACCAGACATATTAGTTACTTTTCTCATGACTGTAACCAAATACCTGACAAAAGTGACTTAAGGAAGGAAGGGTTTATTTTGGTACACAGTTCTAGGCACACTCCATCATGCTCAGGAAGGCATGATGGCAAGAGCCTGAGGCAATTGGAAACCTTGTGTGCCCAGTCAGGAAACGGAAAGATGAATGTTGCTGGTCGGCTCACGTTCTCCTTTTTATTCAGTCTGAGATTCCAGAACATGGAATAATGCAGCCCGTGGTTAAGGTGAGATTTCTGCCTCAGTTAACCCACTCTAGAAACTTCCTCATAGACATGCCCTGAGGTCTGTCTCTTAGGTGATTCTAGATCCTATTAAACTGACAGTCGATATTGTCTATTATAGCAGAATAGCCTCAGTTAGTTCTCTGAGTGCTTTATCACATTCCCTCAGTTAACAAACATTTGCTCCCTGCCAAGCACTGGCCACAGTTTGAGCGTATTGAGGAGAACAAGTTAGACAAGGCCTTTGATCTCAGGGACGTTGCATAGGGAAAGACTAAAAACAAAGACCCTGCCATATGAATGACTAAGATGTTTTGAGGACACAAAGGAGTCATTGGGATTGTGGCCTAGTAGATGAGGAAGTGTGAAGAGTATGGGTTGGAGAAAATGACAACCATCAAGTCCCATCCTGTAGAATGTGAATGCCTTGGGAGAGAGGATGCACTTTATTCTATATGCAATGGGAAGTCATTACAGAAGTTAAGCTAGAAGTCATACGATCTAATTCACATTAAAAAAACAATTTTGGAGCCACACCTGGTGGGCACAGGTTTGCAATCCCAGCTCTTGTTAGGCTGAGGCAGGACTATCACTTATGAGTTCCAGAACATGTTGGGCTACAGAGTGAAATCCTGTCTTGTAAACAAAATTTTGGCTGTGTCATGAGCACAAAAAGGGACACAATTAGCTCTGCGTCTGCTTTGATTTTTCTCTCTGTACCTCTAATGTGACCTGGAGCACTCTCCTCACAGCTAAATTCCTCAGTCATCTTAGTGCTTCCAGGCTAGGTTGCCAGCGGGAAAGGTTGGGAGGAAGTCCTTCATGCAGACAATAGAGATGGAGGAAGCAGAGCCTGAGTGCCTTAGACAAGGGTGCACACAGCCTGCCTCTATGCAAAGTATCATGGTAGGCCTGCTAGTCAATCAGCCTTTGCCAAATTTTAAGAAACTTCCAGTAATACAATCTGGATGTACCATTCCTCAATCGATGAGTCACTAGAACCAGCCTATGACTACAAATAATGCGACAGCTCTGCTCCCGGCTCCTCAAGGGCTGGATGCTACAAGGATGCTCTTGCTTAAAGTGGCCATTGTATCCATTCCACTTTCTACACAGAAGTAGGAAAGCTGTTGTGAGAAGGAGCTGAGATTCCAGAAGAAATAGTAGGAAAGTAGCCCCCCATCAGTTGTGGGATGTGATCATGTCAATGAGCTAAAGAGTACCCCTCTGAACACGTGAGAAGGAGCTGAGATTCCAGAAGAAATAGTAGGGAAGTAGCCCCCCTCAGTTGTGGGATGTGATCATGTCAATGAGCTAAAGAGTACCCCTCTGAACACTTCTTCCCAGAGATCCCCATGGGGCCTATCAATATTCTCTCCAGATCCTGTGCTCCGCCAGGGAGCAGAGAGGCCTCTGCTACATCCATCAGTACTTTACCAGTGTGAGGTGGCGGGGATGCAGCAGGACTATGGCTGGTAGTGGGGCTGCCGGAAGATGAGGCTGTGGTCAGGTCCTGGGTGCCAATCCTTGAGTTCAAGGGAGAGGTCAAGGACAGCTTTCTGGCCCTCACTGGGGAGGACGTTCTGGACACAGCCAGGGGTGGTGGGGAAGAGAACTTGCGACACAGACGTGGAGATTTTCCATCTAACAAATATTCACCTCTGTTGTTCTGGCTGGTGGCAAAAAATAGCTCTAATGACCTAAAAATAAGAGCAAATGCTGTTAACAGATGGTAGCCAAATGAAGACATGTCCCAAATGGCATTCAAGAATATACTCCCAACCCATGTACATTAGAGCTGTCAATACCATGGCACCTCCAGTGCTGGATCTTCCTTAATGTAAGTGCAGCCGGTACCCATGCCCTTCCTGGAGGAACACCCACAGTGTTGAGGCAGTCTAATCCCTTGCTACTAAACTGTGGTAAAGGCTTTAAGTGTCAAGACCAATAACACTATATCTCTGGGGAGCTCTCAGACATGCAAAACGTAGGTCCATTGCAGACCTACTGAATGGACAGCACACCCACTCTCCCAGACAATTCTTAGGTATATTGAAGCTTGAATGATGATGATGATGATAACGACAATGAAGATGTCTAAAATGATTGAACTAACGACAATGAAGATGTCTAAAATGATTGAACTGGCTTCCAAATAATCATAGAATAATTAGAGGTTACTTGGAGACTTCAGAGTTCTCTATTTCTTCCCTGGGGATTTCTGAGACCTTTTCTTCCCACCTCTACCGATGGCTTATGGTGAGGTCAAAGGTGAGCACATAGCCTAGGGGCTGCTCTGAGAGTGGGGCTGATATCTGCATAGTGACCCAGAAACCAAGAGGACAAAGCCAGCAAACCTGACAGGGATGGAAGTGAAAGGCCTCTTGTATATGTCAGAGAGCTTTGCCAGCACCACAGTGGCTGTGGTGAAAATGCGATAGGTGTGTAGGAAGGTGTTGAGGAAATCAATGCTCAGAAACCGCAAGTCTGTCAATCGCTCCAAGAGACGCTCCACGCTGGCATAGCGGATCTGGGGCACTTTGCAGGAGTTGAGTGTTTTACTGAAGCAAATGTCAGTGTCATCTTTATGAAGACGGGCATCAGACCTATGTGCAAAATGGGAACACATAAGCCAAACTGGGGCAAAGCTTCCTCTTCGGTCACTGAGCACTTCCTCATGTCAACAAGCACTCATGCACAGGCTTTCCATTGCATCCAGCAGAATGTGAGCATGGTATGATATATCACATACGTGTTTAGGAACATTATGTGCCACCACGACATTCCATTTAGAGAAGCTAGAACTAACTGTGGAGGATGTAGTACTAATTTGTTTCTTCTTTTCTAGTTCAATTGTGTCCTATTAGAAAAGGATGGCTAAGTCCTCTTTTGAAGAAAGAAAAAGTGTTTCTCATGTCTTTAAAGCAAATGTCAGAAATGTGCTTCAAAAGTAGCGAGTGGCAACCCTCATACACTGGGGAGGAAAAGATAGTCATTAGCACTATGTAATACACTAGCATTATTGTGTTATAAATATATAATACTAATGTATAAAAGATGATTCAATATTTTATCTTATATAGTCTGCTCTTTTGTTGACCAATTACTCCATTTTTCTATATATTTTTTAACTTATACTATCTGTTCTTATTTTAATTATGTTCTCCCTCTACTTTCCTACAATTTCTCATCTTTTTTAAACTAATTTTTTACATTTATTTATGTGTTTGGGGGGTGCATGTGAAGGTCAGTGGTCAGCTTGCAGAAGTCAGTTCTCTCCTTCTACCATGTGGGATCCAGGGACCAAACTCAAGTCATTTGGCTTGGTGGTAGGCACCTTTACACTTAGCCATGTCACCAGCCCTCGCCTGCTTTTTATAGCTTCTTGAATAGCTAATTCATTTACTTTATTCTTTCTGGATTATTGATATCTTTAAACTCTTTGAACACAATTTAATCCATAAATTGGCATGCTATATTTTCATTCTGTTTTCAATATTCTGCAATAGTAAAAACAAATTCATTAAAAATAAGACTGGTTGAAATATATTCTTCTAACAGTATCTAGTATCTAGTAAAACCTATACTTTACCCTTCTGTAAGACCTTCTATCTGATCCCCTGAAAGCTTCATGAGGAGGCTATTCACTGGCAGCCTCTCTAGGTGGGCCACTGGAGCCCCCACCAACCTTTGCTTCCTTATTAGATCTCTTGTGCGTCTCCAATGCAGCATCAGAACAATCAACAAGGCCCAGATTTCACCACTTCATTAAAGGATATGCTACAGGGCCAGTGATTTTCAGTGAACCAGGTCTTGCTAAGAATCAGCTGGTTTGTTATAAGAACTCCTATTTAGGCCTCTTAATACTTGGAGGGATTTTTAATTCTATATTTATTTTCTTTGGGATAAAAAGGAATCAATAGCTTTCTTAGCTTGCTTAGAAGCTTTCTAACACAAAATATGTGTAGTTCAGGCAGAAGCACTTCATCCACAGCCTGAAAGAGCATTTTAAATGGCCAGCCTACCCCTGCAAAGGACCTCACCAAGGATGGCCTATTGACTTTAGTCACATTACTGCTTTTGGAAATATACAAACTGATCTTTGGAGATGTTTTAAAATAGCATAGCTCTTTCTTTCACCTACTACACGGTCTTCATTCAACTGTACTTTTCTGACTCTTGAGCTCTCAGTTGTCAAAAGACCTGCGCAACTTTTATGAACCCATCATTCTGTCCTGAAATGGTTGAATGAAACAGTCATTTTTTTTCTCCCACTGTTTTCCACCAAAATTTCTAGAAAAAGAAAGTCGGGGCTGGAGAGATGGCTCAGCGGTTAAGAACACTGGCTGTTCTTGCAGAAGACCTGGGTTCAAATCCCAGCACCCACATGGCAGCTAACAACTGTCCATAACTCTAGTCCCAGGGGATCTGACAGCCTCTTCTGACCTCCGTGGGCATTGCACGACATTGGTGCACTTACCTACATGCAGGTAATACATGCATACACATAAAATAAAAATAATAAATAAATTAATAAAAAAGAAAGTCTCAGCCTATATTCCACATATAAGGAAATTTTTATTTAATATCTGTCACTATTTTTGCATCCTAACTAGTTTTGAGCTTTGCATCTTTTTCACTATAATTAATTTGTTCAAAACACCTAGGAGGGATGAGTATATTGCAGCCAGCATGAGATTAAGTTAAACTAATAACACCACGGTCCTTCAAAATTATGATTATATTTTCATTTTAAGAAAAGAAATTAAGTATTATGAAATTACTTAATTTTCTTTTATTGCACTGAATAGGATCTTACATTATTTCCTAAGGGACTCTCAAGAAAGACAAAATGTGTTACTTAAGCCTCCTATGGTGCCAGCAGCTTCTTTTTGGTAAATATACAAAAAGCAATCTTGAGAGATCAAAGCCGAATCATCTATTATAACTGTAAGTCTTCAAAGGAAGTGAGTGCTTAAAACGATGCCATGTCAGTAACAGACATGGTTACACTAGGATTTTTTCTCTTTTAACTCTAAAAATGTCAATTCTTTTTCATGGCATGTAGCCATGGAGACAGATACACAGAGAAGCAGAAATACAGAGTTTAAGGCTGAACTGAGATTGAAAAATCATATTTTTTCTTCTGATTGAGGAGAACTAGGCTCAGTGAGGCTGGAAAAGTTAAAAGGATAAATGTATGAAACTTCACTTTAGGAATATGCCCCGTGCAGCATAGATGCCTTTGCCTTAACAGAAAATCCCTATAGTCCAAGGTACGGGTTCCAGTACTGGCAGGACAGCAGGTTTTGTTACTTCTATGTACTCAGAAGCTGAAAAGTTTTAGTCTCTGTGAAAACAGTTATGCAAATGAAAACGAACAGGGACACTGCCATGGTAAGGGACAGCAGATGCACAGGGGCACTGGCCAACTGATCAGACAAAGAACTGAAGTTTCCATTAGTATCAGCTTTGGAGGAGAACAGAATGTGTGCAGGGTGTATACGCAGCTGCCCTGGGGCCACCAGCTTTGAACTTGCCCACGTCTTACTCAACATTCTCATTCTAAAGTGACTGGACCTTTCAAATATGCTTTCCAGAAAGAATGAAAATTGTATATATCATTTTGCAAAATCAGAATCCTATCATAAAAATTAATAAGAAACTTCTAAGAATTCAAAAAATAAAACATAATTTAGACCCAGACTTAATATTACATACTGTTCTTAGTCTTTACCTCGTATATTTCAAGTAATTTTTTTAAATAGGGCCTCCTTAGTCCCAGCCCTCCTGGAAATCACTATGTGAACCAAGCTGGCCTCCATCTCACAGGTATCCATCTGCCTCTGCCTTCTGAGGGGGGATTAAAGGCACGCGCCACCACACCCAGCTATTTTAAGAAATTTAAAAAGAAAATTCTAAGCTAAGAATCTAGAAAATTAATTACACCTTAAAAAATTAGACTTTAATTATACCTTAAAAAATTAATTTTCTAGATCCTTAGCTTAGAATTTTAGCTTAATTAATTTTAGGTTAAAGAATCTTTGACCCAGAATTTTTTAAATATTTTAAAATCTCACTAACATTTAAAATATTATAATTTTATAATTCTTTTCTAGTAGTACATGCTTTTTCTTTATCTGATGTAATAGTAATGAGTTATATAACTATTCTCATGCCATTACAATTATGTTAATACATTCCTGAAGAGCAAGGTCATCCTTTTAAAATGTTGCTTTTTCTTTCAACATGGCAGTTCAGACTCCCAAATATCTACACAAGAAGGCAGGAAAGAAACATGTTCTTAGTTTCACACACTGTTTCAAAGATATAGAAACACTGTTTTAAAAGATAAAGTTGCTTTTTAAAATATACTCCACTCTTAAAATGTTGAATGAAAATAACCAAAAATAAAAAGCAATTTACTCCCAAAACAGCTTCTGAATTTGAAAATGAAATAGTATACAGAGTCAAAAGCATCAATACAGAGAGCTGTAGCAAGCACGGTTGGTAGTGACTGATGGAACTTATTTTAAACCACAGCCTCCTCTTGATTCTTATAAGCAAAAAGATTTGCTTTATGGAACACAGAAAAGATAGATAGGCCCTGACCAAAGGCCTCTGAGCAAAGCCAGATTTAAACAGTGGCAGACAATGCCATACCCACATCAGCTGACTCCTGCCAGGTGGTCAATATCTAAACTTGGCTCTACAGCCAAATCTGAGTCATAAGGTTAATACTGAGATGATGCCAAATAAGTCAGCCATACCTTCATCTGCCCCCTGATCTTGAGTGCATCTGGCTGTCACCACTTCAGTTTTTAATACTGAAGTTAAACATCTTGCTAAGATTTTTGTCCTGAGTAAGGGCACGTGTTAAGAGTATGAAAAATAATTTTTCTCAATATGTCAATAAGATGTGAATCTGAAAAACCATTTTGATAGTGTTTTATTTATAATGGCATAACATGAATTGCATGACTCATAAAACACACATTTTCTATAAAAGGCAGAGTCCTACTGACATAATATTTTGTTCAAGGTTTCTTAATCTCTGCCAAAGTGATCTTGATTAAAATGTAAGGGAAAGTATTACTGTACTTACTTAATCATATGTGGCACAGTAACTTTGGAATTCTCTTCGAAGACAATAGTCATTAAACCATTACATCGTATATTGTCCATACACTGTGAAATTAAAAATAGGCAATTAAAACCCACATGGAAACCCAGGCAGATCATATATTCCCAGAAATGTTTGTAGCCATAAAACCAATTTAATTCCTTTGTCTGTATCTGTATCTGAGAGAGAGAGGGAGAGAGGGAGAGAGGGAGAGAGAGAGAGAGAGAGAGAGAGAGAGAGAGAGAACAGTAGGTAGATGTTACATATTGATGAACAGATTCAATACTGTGCATATACTCAGATTGGCTCTCAGCCAAATGCCTGATAAAGTGCCTGTGGATAGATACAAGGGCTCTATTTTCCTGGAGAGTGTGTTTCTTCTTCTTTTTTTTTTTTTTTTTTTTTTTGGTAAATAAAACCCAGAGCTCTGCACTCCACTCCAGCTTTTCAGAACAGGTTTCTTAGAATTCTGACAAAAATGCCACATCTTCACAATTCTGCGGCAATCCCAATACTAGCTTCGAGGTCTATAACTTCTGTCCCAGCTACATTACTTCCTGCCCCCAAGGGCAATACGGAGTGGTCAGATTACAGTGGTGTCCTGGATGGAATCAGTCTTTTCTTACTAGCAAGCTCTGCGCCCACTTCTCAGGTATCTTTTTGCCAATAAGTTCCCACATCTTGCTAGTTTGTCTAGCAGTTTCTTTTGGTACCATGTTGGGTTGGTGAGGGGGCAGCATGTAATCTTCTCTGTTTCTGGCACACAGAAAGTCTGGTGATACCCTTTTCTGTTTTCTAAGAGAGGAACTCAGGAACTTTGGCTAATTTCTCCATTTTATTTCTATGTATGCCTTATTGATTTGAAATTTCCCTATGCAATTACTTTGGGTTAGAGAAACGCTTATTTTGAATTAGGAATATTCCTTTTGTAGAAAAAAGAAATTGGGGAGAAGCAAACCAATTTTAAAATCATAAATTGCTTCTAGTCACTAGGATACCACACAGAGCTTGTGACTGCAATTAATTAGTGAAGACAATGTCATCACATTATGATCTCACAGAATCCCTTGATCAAAGGGCCTACCCCAAACTCCAGTGCTAAGTGAAAGAGTGAAGATGTATATAAGAAATTAGTTTGTGGGGGAGCTGAAGAGATGGCTCAGCGGTTAAGAGCACTTGCTGCTCTTCCAGAAGGCCTTGTTTAGTTCCCAGCACCCACATGGCAACTAATACGTGTCCTTAACCCCAGTTCCAGAGGATCTGACACCTCCTGGTCTCTGCAGGCATTGCATGCACATAGGGTACTTAACATGCATGCTCTCAAAACATCCATACACATAAAATAAAAATAAATAAAATCTTAAAGAAATGAGTTTGAACATATTAGGTATAAAAATGGGAAAGGGAATGATGGAACAAGAAGGGTCAAGTGTGGTGGGGAACAGGGGAGCAGGACAGAGGAGGGATAGCTAACATTGAAGACCTTTGAAAAAGTCATGGAAACAGCACTGTAGAGAAGTAATGTTTCCCATACATACATAAAATGAGTTTAAATGGACCTACCCTATAGCAAGGAGACAATACCCTTCCTAGACACCATAGGCTATCCAATAAAAAGCTCAGTGCCAGGAATGGGTTACCTCTGCTCAAGTTGTTGGTCATTGGGGTCCCATAGACCTCCAGACATTACACATTATTGCCACTGCTCTTGGTTACCTTCCAAAACTTGACAGTGAGGCCTTATTGCTGAAGACGCCACATACTTGGGTCAGAGAACACAGAGATATCAAACTGGTACCAACTTGAATGCTTCATCCCTACTGGCTAGCTTTCATGGTGATGGAAAATGCTGTATATACTACTGGGAGAGAAACATAATCACTGATCTTACCTATCTGTGAACCCTACGAGCTACAATAAAGACCAGCCTGGCAAGGTATGCCCACTGGTTCAAAGGTAGCCAAATGTTCTGGGAGTAACCACTTTCTGATTATATTGAAGGCTTGTTCCATAAGATAGAACCCATGCCCGGCACCATTATAGGAGCCAAGAACCTGTGACTAGAAAGGACATGAGCCCTAGGGGAGAATTTACTACTATTACTCTGCTAAATGGGCACAGCATTAAACTGACTCCTATATATCATTATACATAGTACGTCTCTCAGTCCTCATCAGAGAAGCTTCTTTTTGCAGTTGATGGCAATTAACATAGAGATCCACAATCAGTCAATGTTCAGAGAATAAGAGACTGCAGAGTGCTCAGCCCCATCACACTTCCTCCCAAAACTCAAGGATCATTGCAGAAAAGAGGGCAGAAAGACTGTTAGAACTGGAAGCAGTGGATGACTGCAATGAAACAGTGTTTTCCAGACACAGCAGGGCAGTTGCACATATGAACTCACAGTGATTGAACCAGCATACACAAAACCTGTACAAGATCAATCCAGACAAAAGTCCCAGCATGGAGGGAGAAGGTGGTCAGGAAATCCTACCCATAGCCAAGGAGCTACTGGAAATTGGTAATTGCTGAAGAGGGACAATCGGTTTTCTTTAAGAGTGGGGCCCCTGGAAGGTGGAACACACTCCATTGGATGACCCTACATCCAGGAGTAAATGGACATCACAAGTTGGACTCAATTTTTTTAAGAGGACAGGAAGTGAGGGGGCATAGGGAGGTGGGGGTCGATCTTGGAGGAAATGGGGAGAGGAGTGGATGGTAAATGTGATCATAATACATTGCATAAAATTTCCAAAGGAAAAAGTCTAGTCTATCAGTCATTTTTATATTTACTTTTCCCTAAAAATTTGTCATGTCATTATTTCAACTACCAGGTACAAAGGATCCCAACTTATGAAAATAAACTAGACTACTTTAAAGTTCCCCTTTTATGCATTTCCTTAATCTACAACATTGAGAAATAACTATGAGTTATGTTTCTTTATACAAATACCTATTTAAATATAAATCTGGCTATATGTACTTATAGGTGAATTTAAACTTCACCTAACTCCTACAAGGTTGATTCTAAAAACATACATTAAGACAAAAGTCCAGACAGGTGAGATCAGAACAGATTTGTATAAAGGGCATAAAACAGTAGATGAAGCCCAGAATGAAACCACAAAGCACACTTTATGTTGAAAACATAATAACTGGGCCCTAGAGCATCAACTCAAAGACGAACACAGAGCAAGCTATAAAATTCACAGTTTAGCAGAATCCAATCCTAGTCCAAGACAAGAGAAAAAATTGTTTCACAGTTTCTCATAAAGAGATTGGTGTGATGAGAATAGGAGGTAGGAATTGGCTAGGCAGTTAGGGTAAAAAGACCCCAAAGAAAAGTAGCCAGTTTCTTGGCTAAAAGTCAAAATGTCCTTGGGCCTGTTAGCAACATACTCTGTTCCAAAGGCCAAAAATGTCAAAAGTATCTGGGAGCTTGTATTTAATCCTTAAAAGATTTTAGGGTTACCTCTTCAGAGGGAGGAATGTTGGAGGGGAGGGAGTGGGCATGGATTTGATCAAAACACCTTATATACATGTATGAAATTCTCAATAAAGTTTTTGTAAAAATTTTACAAAAAGAATCTTAAAATATCAAGCAATGTCCTCAACCATATCTTTAAAGTAACTGCAAGTATAGATAAATTGTTTTTATAAACTTCTTCAACATTGCTTGGAAAGTACAGCTCCAAATGAACACCCCTGTGGTGAGCTTCAGAGACTGTGGTCTGGAGGCCAGCCTCCCTCTCCTGCATGGTTCCAAGCACAGCCTTCACACTGTCCAGAAAAGTACAGGCCACTCCTCTTCCGGAGGACCGAATGCTGCTTCACTCACCCTAGTTCATTTGAGCAGAAATTGGAAATATTCTCTCTCAAAGTCTGAAACAGCAGTACCTTATGTGCCCGGTTTGGAATCTGTTTCTACCAGTGAGCCAAACTGCCATAAGACCTAAAGCACAATCCATGACCTCTGCAGGAGAGCACTCAGTCAGGGCCTGATGACAATGTGTGTCAATGGCCCACTGCACCCAGGAAAGATACATGGAGGATGCCAGAGAGAATGCATGAGTTTATAATGAAGAACAGTAAACAACTGTAGAAGTCAGCTGGGGTCTGGTTATGGGGAAGAGAATCATGAATTCGGATTTTATCCTGAAGGCAGAGGGGAAGCCACTAAGGGTTTCTAAGCAGTTCTTTTTTATTGGAAGATCTAAACTGGTCTCATGAATGTATTTGCTGAAAAAACGGATGGGGACCCAAGGAATCAACAGAACAATATTCTGAGTTGATAAATAAAATGATTCATGCTGCCCAGGACACAGATTGTGGGAATGAAGAGGAAAGAGTAGAGATAAACATTTTGAAGAAAGAAATAACAAAACACAATCAGTTACAGCATAAAACCAAGAGAAAAGCAATCATAAAAATCCAAGGTGACCTTTATTATAAGGTAACTTAAAATTTTTCCGATTCAAAAAATAATAATAATAAGCCAGGCACGGTGGCGCACGCCTTTAATCCCAGCACTCAGGAGGCAGAGGCAGGCGGATCTCTGTGAGTTCAAGGCCAGCCTGGTCCCCATAGCAAATCCAGGCCATCTAGGGTTACAGAGAGACCCTGTCTATAATAATAATTGGTGGTTTGAATGAGAATACCCCCCATAGGCTCATAATAATAATAAAGTATGGCCAAACTTTTTTTATTAAAACAGTTTAACCAAAATCTATCTTTTGAATTATCAAGAATACCAAGGAGACAGACACACTCATTACATGGCATTGGGGATTTTAACAAAATGGATGTTTTATATCTGCATATATTAGTACTTTCTATGTGACAGACACTGGGCTAAGGGCTATGGGCTCTGGGGCAGGAAAGGAGTATGTGTCTCAGTTTCTTCTCCTGCTGTGATAAAATACTCTGATAAAAGAAACATGGGAGAAGGGTTTCTTCTGGCTCACAGTTCAAGGTACACTCCATTACAGCCGCAGCTGCATCAAGGGCTTGAAGCACTCGTTGCATTGCACCCAGTCAAGGATCAGAGAGAGAATGAACATCTGCT